ACATTTTCGACGCGTAACTAACGAGATCATCAAGAGCGCGTTGTCCTTGATATTTTTCAATCTATAAACATGATACAAATATTTTTCATGTCATTTTTTTAAGTTTAATATTTACTTTGCGGCCATCTTCAATCCATAACAACGTCGGGTATCCCTTGATGTCAAATTGGTTGCATACATTCTTATGTTGTGTGCAGTCGATTTTAGAAATGCGCACATTGTCAATACTTCCAAGATTCTTACCGAGTTCATCCCACACTGGCGCTAATCTCTGAAAGAATAAAAAATATTTCACTTTGCCAACAAACAAACGTGTTTACTTGTAGTATTCGTTAAAAATAAGTTGATTAAGACAAATTACCTGGCAATGCCCGCACCATGGTGCGTAAAACTTGACAAAATGTTTGCCACTGGCGACGTGCTGCTCGAATGTATCTTCGGTCAGCTCGGTGAGGCCGGCTTCCACGGGAATTTTCGCTTCTTGCTCGCCGTCGAGTGTCTAAAAATAATTTTGAGGTAAATATAGCTTATTTATCTATTTTTACATATTAATTTTACACTTACTAGACTGACTTGTTCAGTGATAAACGTAGTAAGCGACGGCAGGTCTCTAGTGCCTCTGAATTTGATGCCTTCCTCGCTGCCGAGTTTGAAGAACTTCAGTGTGGGGTAACCAGTGACGTCCTGTGCGTTGCAGACGTCACCATCGGTGGTGCAGTCCACTTTTGCGATTTTTACGTTGCTTTCTTCTTGGTTGAGCATCTCAGCGAGCTCTTCCCATGTGGGATGCAGGCGTTTACAATGTCCACACCTAAAAATTTTAGTTTTTTGTTAATAACTTTTATATTTATTAAGATATTTTTATAAAATTTGGGGTGGTGGTCAAGGGTGATTAGAGGAATGTTTATTTGAAAGAATAATTAAAATCGGATGATTAGTTTAAAAGTTATAACAAAAAAAGTATTAGAAAATTCTGTTTTTGATAAAAGTGCGTTTTTCTTGAATATCTTCTAAAATAATTGATCAAATGTTATGAAATTTTATAGGGAGATAAAAATTGTTTAAAAGAAGAGATATTTGAAGAAATAATTAAAATCTGACGTTTCATTCAAAAGTTATCACGAAAAAACTGTCAAAAAAGTTTACTTTTGAAAAAACTCAATTTTAAGTTCGTTTTTCTTGAATATCTTTTTAAATAATCGATCAAATGTTATGAAATTTTAAACAGCGATAAATATTAAACAAATGAACAGATATTTGAAGAAATAATGAAAATTGCAAGATGCATTCAAAAGTTACAACAAAAAAACTGCGCAAAAGTTGGTAATCTTTGAAGTTTTACTCAAAATACACCGAATTAATGCAAAAAATCAACGAAATAGTAAATATTCTCCTTGAAATATTCAAATTATGTGTGGAAATCAAGCATTGCACATGAATATATTAATATTATTTTATGTAGCATAAATAATCTGCAATTGTATCCCATTTTTGGATAAGTATTAACCAACCACTTAAATATAATCCAGCACAAACTGATAACTACACAATTATCACCACACTCTACAAATACCAGTAAAATATACTTTTATGAATATAAAACGTTTTCCAACTCACCAAGGCGCATAAAACATGACGAAGTGATTCTGCTTGCCGATTTCCTCGTCGAAGTTGTCGACATTGTACCTAATTGTGTAGACATCGCCATCGTCGTCGGCAAATACCTTGCCGAGACAGACAAGCGCTACGATTACAGCGAGGAATCTAACGAACGCATGACTAGGCGAATGATAACTGACTGACTTTGACTGTGCTACAGTTTTTGTTTCGAGCGTTTCAAGTGTTGCGATGACGACGTCACGTCACGCAATTATTGATGATTGATCGCGTAATCAAGGGCTAGACGGAAATTCAAAGAATTGAGAGCAGTCGTGTACGAAGGCGGTCGAATTATTGTAAATATGCATGCGATGAATTCGACGTCTTCGACATGGAAAGAAATTCGAGGTTACGCCGGAAAGGTATAAGTTTTGAATAGTTGGCAACCCAATGCGCGAGTTTTACTCAATTTGTTTGAAATAAACGAAAAATATTGGTTTAAGGCGGATTATTGTTTTTTATATAGAAATTAATTTTGTTTTTTGATAAGAAAATGTGTACATAGGCACGATTTTCTTATCTTTTATTGGGAAATCATTAAATTTTAATATTTGTAAAGTGTCTACTTTCAAACCGAGCGAAAATATTGAGAAAAACAAAAGCAAAACTTATTTTTCACAAATAAAACATTAAATTTTATTTATTTGATTTAATTAATTGAATATATTGAATTATTTTCAACAAATTCAAATTTATCGACGTGTATTTCTACATAACCTCATAGTTTCCTTGCAACTTCAATACTTTCCCTTTATTTATTTATAACTTAAGTTTTAATATATAATAGACTAAAGATGAGTGCAATTAATGCAGAAATCGATAAATCAGAATCAATTGAAAGTCACTGCAAACATTTTGTTAAACGCAAGAAGCGTTTCTGTAAAATGACTGTCAAGACAGGTTTTAGTTATTGCGGAGAACATTTGCCTCAAACTTCTAATGAAACAAAGAATAATATGAATGAAAATGATGCTAAAACTTTAAGAGTTGTTTGTCCTTTAGACAATAAACAGTAAGTAGTATGAATTATAGTTAATCATACAAGAAATTTATTGTTTTTCAATGTTTTAGTACATGTTTTGCTCACAAGTTACAAAAACATTTGAAGATTTGCAATGCCAGGCCACAACCACAGCCATACATTCTAAAAGGAGTAAATTGTGGTGATATTCAACCAGATACAGATGCAGATTCACCTATTGTTAATACTAGACAATTATCTTCTGTTTCTGTGGGAGATATTAAAGTTTTAGTTGCAAAAATTAACAAAATCTATGCAGGTTTGTGACTTTTACATTTTACATCAATTTTTAAGTTATTTTCTCTATTATTTCCTCTGAAACGGTCAAAATTTGATTTATTTGTAGAATATATCCAAGGAAACATATCAGAATTATATAAAACTTACAAAACAGTTGAAACAGAACTTCTCAAACCAGAATACGGTGACAAAACCAAGAAACATTTAATTCAAGCATCAGCCATTCTTGGAATCTTAGAAGAAAAGTCAATGTTGACTGAAAATACTTGTTATATTGAGTTTGGTGCAGGCAAAGGTATAACTATCACAATTAATGTATAACACAGTAACAAATTAATGCTATTTTAAGGTCAATTAAGTTACTGGTTATCGCAGGCAATCAAAGACCTGAAAAACAGTTCAGTTTTACTTGTTGAACGCGCCTCGCATCGGCACAAGTTTGATAATAAAGTCGATAAAACAGAAAACGCCATTCATCGTATCAAAGTAGACATTGGTGATTTATTATTGCATCAAGTTGATGTAATAAGTTCAAATAAAGCTAATGGGAGTGTTATTGGTGTGACTAAACATTTATGCGGTGATGCAACAGGTAATTTTACTTTAATATGAAAAACTTTAAGATGTATTTCCATAAAATATGTTTAGATTTATCAATGAGATGTATGAACAACTTTGAACAAAATGGCGGACGTGTTGGCGGTCTGGTGATGGCGTTCTGTTGTCATCATAGATGTCAATGGACAGCGTACGTTGGTAAAGAGTTTTTCAATGTAAGCGAAAAGATAAAAACAGTAAAACTTTGGTTTCATAAGCTAATTCTGATATAAACTTATAGAAATGTGGCTTGAATCGAAATGATTTTGATGTTATATGTGGAATGGTAAGTTGGGCGGTTTGTGGCAGTGGATTAGCAAGAGAAACCAACAATGTGACAAATTCTAACCAAAATGACAGGTATTTTAACCACCATTTTAAATTTTAACCTATTTTATGAAACATTTGTTTTTCATATGTTTTAACACTAAAGAGACAAAGAAATAGGTCTAACACGTGAGGAAAAAGAAGAAATCGGTCGTAAATGTAAAATATATTAAACTACGGCCGATTGGAGTATCTACGAGGTTTGGGTTATGATTGTTCGTTGAATTATTATGTCCCCCAACAATTTCACTTGAAAACGTTTGTATTATCGCTAAAAAGTGAGTAATATAAAAGAAAACAACATAAATGACTAAGTTTTATCGATTATTTCAGTTTATATAATAAATTTGACGTTGTGCTATTGAATTTTCAACATTTTCTGTGTTTTTCCGCCATCTTCACATATTAACACATCTTGGGTAAACAATGAATATGTTAAACTACTCATAAATCACTTATTTAAACGAGTATTTTCACTCTTCACATTAACATTGACGAATGCCGCACAATAAAACAAACAAACTGTGAAAAACATTGATGACTCAAGTAAAATTTATAATTTACATTTAAATATTTGAAAATAAGCCAACAGTTCTCAATCAAACAGCCCAACAAACAAGATTTCAATAGAAAAACGTTTCGGAGTCACTCCAACAATGAATAATTACTTTTTATTCGTGCTGAGTGCGATTGATGAGGTGTTTAATCGATAAACAAATGTTAATAACAATAATGTTAATGCTAGTCATGCGAATTTATCTATCCAGTATATTGATGGTATTGTAATTAGTTGTGCGCCATTGAAGGCGAAAATGGCGATAAAACTTTCGCGCACGCACGTCTCACACTTCGTGCATGCGAAGAAGACAATCGACCTTATTTAGGTATTGTCAAGACACCGCATCGATCGTCCAGTTCAAGTTTAAAAATCCATGTCATCAGGTGTGCGGCGTGTGCTGTGCAGTGTGTGTATGTGAAGAGAAAAGTGAAACGAAACGGCGTGCGATTTGTTAGTCCCGCCGAGACCAGCAACCAGCAACGATAACAATTCGTAGTTGGATTGGCGAAAAGTGCATTCGGTGCAAATTACACCATTTACGACATTACAACAATAACATTTTATTCATACATCTGCATATTATTTAAGTAAATAACTAATTAGAGTTTTAGACATTGTGTGTGACTCAGTCAGCAATACCAAACTTAATTAAGTTATTTTAAAATGAATTTTGTTCTAAGAAGCTTAATTTTATGTGTAACTTTAAGTTTATTCATCGAAAATGTGAAATGTGATGATAACGATGACATAAGTAAGTTTAAATAGCATTTTTTATGTTTTTAGTTTCAAAAAACTTAAAATTTGAGTAACATTTTGTGTTTTTGTGGTAAAAATCGCCATTTTATTAAAAAAATTTCTTAAACTAAGTGAAATTATGATTTTTTATGTTTTTTTTTTTAAAAACTCAAAAATTTTGTGTTTTGTGATAAAAATCGCCATTTTATTGTGAAAATACCAGAATGCATTCATTTATTAATCAAATTCAAGGTTTTCACATTGATCTGATTCGTAAATGGTAAAAATTCTACTTGGAATGCACAAATACGACACCATTTTGTTTCTTTTTGCAAAAACCAGCACACTATTAACTTAGTTAAACAAATATTCATTCTAAAACTAACAGGAAGTGACTACATTTTCATTTTTAATTTGTTTTATTTATTTTCTTTGCAGATACCATCCAAATACCTGATTATGAAATGATAAGAACTTCTCTGGATAGTCTTCCATATTCACAATGTCTGCTTGATTTTGACAGATATCTAAACGCATTGCAAACTCATGAAAAATGGGCGATGATTAGTAAGTACACAAAAATATATGTAAATTTATTTAGTTTTTATTGTTTTTTTAATGTTTAGTGCTTGATGCGACCGTAAAGTTTCCTTTCGGTTTACTCTATGGTAATTCCTATCAACTGGGTAATTTCGATGAATGTATCGATGTCACGGTTCCCGATTTAAGTACAAATTCGACAGATTCTGAAGCATTTCAAGGACAATACTGCTTAGCGGAAATCAGTATTAATATTACAACACCATCAACATTGAATCTGACTAATGATGAGTCTATTCATAGTTTGATACACACTGTAAGTTACGGTTTGATATTTTTGTGTATGTTGGGTTGCCTATATTTTAAAACTAATGTTTTAGAGGAAATTCACACGTAAAAATATGAATAAAATGCATTGGGCTATTTGTGTACCATCCACATGTTCAGCAAATGAAACCGCCATGTTTATTCGTGAACTTTTCGGACAAGCCATGCCAAAGAAGAAACTTTTGGTTGATATATCACCAAGTGATTGTTATTTTAAGCAAAACTTATCCATGACTACTGGACAACTTATATATCTGTATGTTTATTACTTTTTATTACAAATATTTACAAATTTAATCATTTTTCTCAATATTTTAGGGGAATAATTGGGATATTTTTATTATTTGTCCTGATATCAACTGGATATCACTGTATACATGTCTGCAGAAAGCAACACTTCACTGGTTACACAATAAACCGCACCAGAGAAGAATATTCCCCAACCCACGACGCCATCTTGTCGTTTTCGCTGATAAAGAACATTCGTAAACTAATTTCAGTACGGGCAAAGAATAACGATTTTAATTTGGATTGTATTTGTGGAATACGTACTATTTCGATGAGTTTTATTCTTGCCGGACACGCGTTGACATTTTTAATCAGTTCGCCATCTTTAAATAGGGAATTCACCGAGGACGCCATTAAAAAGTGCAGAATGCTGTATTCCTAAACAATCCACTTTTAGTTGATACATTTCTACTTGTTAGTGGATTTTTAATGTGTAGATTGTTATTAATCGAGATGGAAAAGCGTGTTGGGAAAGTTAACGTTTTTGCGATGTATTTTGGACGCTATATAAGGTAGGCAACCAATATAACATGAGTCACAAGTTGTAATTGATGTGTTTTTGGTTGTTTTTAGATTAACCCCTGCGTATATTGTTGTGATAGGATTTTACTGCACGTTTTTAGTGGATTTGGGTGATGGTCCCCTGTGGAAATCACGAATGTTGTTAGAACAAGAAAGATGTATTAATTCATGGTGGACGAATATTCTCTACATTAATAATTATGTCAACACTGAACAGTTGGTATGTTTTTAAGTTATAAAATCAACAAAAATTAATAATTTTGAGATTTTTTTGTAGTGTATGTTTCAATCGTGGTATTTATCTGTGGATTCACAATTATTTGTGTTGGCACCACTGATTGTGTTTCCTCTTTGGTATAAAAGAGTACTTGGGGAAATATTTCTGGCCATTTTGTGCATTGGGACCGGTATTGTGCCGTTTATGATCACTGTAGCGCAGAATTTAGACCCAACGCTCATGATTTACCCAGAGTAAGCTTAATTTAAACATGTTTATGTCAAAAAAGTGATATTTTTCTGTTTTTTAGGGAAATTAACGATTTGAGTAGTAATTACTACTTCAAATACTATTATATTAAGACACACATGCGTGCCAATGCTTATTTAGTAGGCATGGTGTTTGGTTATGTTGTACATCGGATGCAATTTAAAAAGTATGCTGTTTATTACATTCTATGTTGTAGATTTACTTATTTTATGTGTTTTTAGTGTGAAAATACCATTCATTGCAAGAATCCTGATTGGAGTCCTTGCGATAATGGTGGGGGCAGCCGCCATGTTTTCAGTCGTGGTTTTTTACCAAGACGATTACGTCTACAATCCTTCAGAAGCTGGATTATATTCAGCTTTACATCGAATCGCATGGTGTTTTGCTATCGGTTGGACTCTAGTTGTTTGCGTAACATCCAATTCGTACGTTAATAATTTCCTGAGCTGGAAGGCATGGGGTCCTTTTAGTAAACTGACTTACTGTGCATATTTAGTTAATGGAATTGTTGAATTGTACAGTTATGGCCAGACGAGAACACCGAGATACTTAAGTGTTTATAGTTTGGTAAGAATTTTTCAT